TAAAAATACTTATAATACCTGTAAGGGTGTGTATACATACACATATATACTTTAAATGTAATTTTCTCATCTGAACTGACAAAACTCCTCTACAAGAGCCACAACTATCTAACAAACATTCCAACATCAGATATGAGCAACCCTCTTTTGAACTGTTGGTCAGAGTTGTCCAAGAGAGTGCTAAAACATTACAGGCTATTGCTGTTGCCCTTGGTTGCCCCAGAGGTGGTAGTCCCTATTGCTGAAATTACCAGGTACCTGAGGCACAGGTCCCAGAGTGCCCTGGGTTGGAACTAATATGAAAAGTCTCCTTTCTGAGGACTAGCTTTCTTAGTAGAAGCAGCATGCAAGCTGCTAACAGAGGGAAGCAACCAATAGTTCTACCTGGCTGTGTTAATACCTGTGAACTATAAGAACCAGCAAGGCATAAAATTCTCAAGCATGCAGTAGTGACATGTGTATTTGGTGATAAGCAATAGCTCTCTAATTGGACTTAAGGACTACTCAGCCAAAGGAAAATCCTGCCTGGTACTGGAAACTTAGCCAACTACCAACCAAAATGCAGAGTTGTGGATCCCAATCACAACTAATACATCTACAACACAACTACCAAACATAGACTCGGGAGTCATAATGGAAGAGGGGCAGAAAAACTGTACTTGTTATGAGATTGTGTCTCCTAGTAGTGTCAGAAGTTACACTCATAAAGTCTCACTAATATGACTGCCTAAACATGATCTGAACAAAGACAACAATAAAAGACAAGCCTAAGTGGGCAGAGAAAAAGCTCTTGAGGCTTCATTGATAGACAAAGAACCACAGGCAACTACAGAACGCTGAGAATGGAGAAAACTCTCTCCACTCAAGATGAGCTTTCCTAATATCAATGGTCAGCCCTGTGTTTCCTGGTGTGTGTGTGTGTGTGTGTGTGTGTGTGTGTGTGTGTGTGTGTAAAACATCATATACACTGACCAGGTTGTATTTATATATTTAGTAATACACACATACATACTGTGGTGGTTTGAATGAGAATGGCCCCCACAGCCTCATATATATTGGATAAGGAGCTTACATGGAATATGCTGTGACCCAATGGTTGTACAATATAAAATAGATGCTCAAGGCTGGCAGTGAATAAACAGGCTGTGTTGAAAGCCTATGTAGGTTAGCTGTGCTAAGAAAGTAATTTGTTCCTGGGTATGTATCACACTGTGCAGCTGCTCAGGAACCTTCAGTGGGAAAAGTGGCCCTGAATAAATGTTTTGAATAGGGTAAGATGGCCATTCCCAGGACAAAAATCATACTTTCAGAAGCACCCTTTGGCTGTTGCTGACTTGAAAGAGCTTTAGACCCTCGCAGAATACAATCTTGATGAGCATTCTCCTGTGGTGCTTCCATATTAAGCTGTGAAAATCAAGGCTGCTGCTGAATAGTGGCTTGAAAATAAGAATCCTTCAAATACATCTGGCTTTGTGGCACTGAAGAATCTGGAGTTATACAATCCTGATATACCACTGCATAGGACTCTGATACTGACTGCAGTTTTTGCAATGGCTGATGAGTCCCCAAAATGCCTCACAATAGAATTAGAAGGGAAACAAACTTTACCACCAGTATTCTGTGTACTGCTCACATTTTGGGCAGAAGAATGATTTAACCAAGTTTGAAGTAATTAACTGGAAAGAAACAGAAACAAGTCTGATTGGCAAATGGTGGTTTGACTAATGCCTTATTCCCATTCCTGAGGCCAAGATCAAGTTGAAGACCAAATGTTAGATGCTACAAAGTCATCCATGAAGCAAGCAATGTCTGAGAAGTTAACTGTAGAAAGGGTTGGTTGTGAAACTCCAATAACTAAAGTCATGGGTTGGGCTGAAGTTTGTCCATCTGTTCTAAGGACCTGGTATTAGGTAAGGAAAATTGAAATTATAAATTCATATACTTTTCCTGTTTTAATGGGACTGTTGCAAACAGACTCAAAAGAAATAAAACTATATGCTAAAATTTTCACCTAGTAATCTAAAAGGTACTAGGTACAAGCATTAGGCATTCATTCTACAAAACTCCTAACACCATGAACAAATGCTATTCCAATACATGGAAGAGCTAGGAACAGTCCTAGCAATATATTGCTCATGCCTTCTCATTTATTGCACTTACCACATAAATCATTCAAAACCTGGTAAAGAAAGAGTAACTAAATCTGACATTTTACACAATATGGGAATGTGCTCCAAAAGAAAATATGAAGGTTTTCAATATAATAAATAAAATAAACAAGACTTTTCTCAAAAATACAGGTGAAATAAGTACAGGCTGATTGTAATCATTCCTATAATTTAACCATTTGCTCATAAAAAGACCCAAGTGATTGCTATGGTGGTTTGAATGAGAATAGTTCCCATTGGCATATATATCTGAATGTTTGGTGCCCAGTTGGTACTGTTTAGGAAGGACTAAGAAAGGTGTGTCACTGGGGGTGGGCTCTGGGGTTTCATAAGCCTATACCAAGTTCAGTCTCACTCTGTCTCTGCCTCCTGCCTGCAGATCAGAATGTAGAACTCTCAGCAACTGCTCCCGCACCGTGCCTGCCTGCTGTTAAACTCACCATGATGATAATGAAGAAATGCTCTGAAGCTGTAAACAAGTCCCAATTAAATGCTTTCTCTTATAAGTTGCCTTGGTCATGATGTGTCTTTACAGCAATAGAACAGTGACTAAGACAGTTGCTTAGGTGTGTTTTATGTAGTAAATGAATGGATAGGCTACAAAAATAGTAAGTATACAATATGCATTTGTACCTATTATTGACTTTTCTAATACTTGTTTGTATTTATGTGTATGTATCAGTGTGTATATACACCCATGGAGGTCATAAAAGGACATTTAATCCCATGGAGATGGAGTTACAGGCAGTTGTGAGCAGGTCTCTTCTGGAAGAGCTAGACTTGCTCTTCACTCTGAGCCATCTGTCCAGCCCCTGTATCTACAATTTAAATTATGTATGTACACACTAAAATGACAAATCTAGAGGCTATAGCCTCAAACATAAACAGTTATCTCTTGATGGAAGGCTAGATAACAGCTTAACAGGTGATTTTCACTTTCTTCTTTATAATTTTATGAACATGGTCTTGCTATGTAGTTCAGGCTGTCCTGGAATTTTCCATGCAGCCCAGGCTTGAGCTGAACTTGTGATCCTCCCTCTGTAGCCTCCCAAGTGTTGAGATTCCAGGTATGTGCCACCACATTCAGCTTGAGTATTTATTTTAAACATGCAAATAAAACTTCCAAAAATGTAAATATATTTTAAACACCTATACTTATTGCACTTAAAGTTAAGCATATGTTCAAGATATGCTTAGAAAGAAATTAATTAAAACAAAATGTGAGGTCAATTGCAGATATGTAACATCACTTATAAATATTACCCACATTCTCAACTGTGTCTACAGACCAAGTTTACCCCAGCATATTTTAAATGCTTCTGTCATTTTTCAAGTGCACATCTCCTACAAGATCTCTTTAAAGGTAAGTAAAATGTCTTATCTTACTTTATTTTCTCAGTAGGTAGGAGTCATTAAAAGTCTATTGATAGAGCCAGGCAATGATGATGCACTTGGGAGGCAGAGGCAGGTGGATCTCTGTGAGTTCGAGGACAGCCTGATCTACAGAGTGAGTTCCAGGATAGCCAGGGCTACACAGAGAAACCCTGGCTTGAAAAAACAACAAAAAGTCTATCGATAAACTGGAACTACTTATGGGCCAATTTCTCAAAAGAAACCAATGTTCCACATGCTAACTAGAAAATACCATGGGCTTAGAATATCTTACTCTCAAAGAGGGAAAGTATATGCATATGGAGTGAAGAGTGGAGCAAAGAAAATGGATGATGACAGAAAAAGTTCAACTATGTCCAGAGTCTATGATATAGGCAACCAGAATATCTCATGGATACATGAATTTATGCAAAGATGGTTTACTTGTTAGTTGTCAGAAATGAATACTGGCTTTGTGTGTTTGAAAGTCAAAATTTCTTCTAGAAAAAAAGAATCTAACAACAAACCAAGAATTTAGATGAATGTGTTAAAAATCAGTAAAGTCTATGAAATACTTAATGCTTTAATTAACTGAAACAGATCTCTCTCCATCATCTAACCAATCTGGAAAATTTCAGCACAAAGAAAGGACTGGTTAACCGAGAGAGACAGAGAGTGGGGAGGGAGAGGAAGATGGAGAGGGAGAGAGGAGAGAGAGAGAGAGAGAGAGAGAGAGAGAGAGAGAGAGAGAGAGAGAGAGAGAGAGAGAAAGTCCTAAGTAAGTAAATCTTTGACTGAGCTAAGGTCTCTATTCTTCTCAAGTTATACATGTAGTTATGTATGTAGTATTTCTAGATTTTACTTGCACAATATTAAGTATGTCCTCAAGAGAAATGTAATGGGTATGAGTAGGTATGAATAACTTCAAACTTTCAGTAGCTTTACCTAATCTATAGTTATCTGATGAAACAGAATTGTTACCTGTCAGAAAACACAGACAAAAGGAAATATATTTAAATCAATAAATAGCCTCTAAAATATGTAACTTATGGAGGCTGGAGAGATGGCTCAGCAGTTAAGAGTACTGGATGCTCTTCTAGAGGACTGGGTTCAATTCCTAGTATCCACATGGCAGCTCACATATACCTTTAACTCCTGTTCCAGATGTGACACCTTCTGGCCTACAAATACCAGGAATGCATGTGGTACATAGAAATACATGTAGGGAAAACACTCATACAAATAAAACTAAATTAAAATTTTACATCTTAAATTAAAAATACTTTAAAAATATGTCTCAGTTGCTGGGCAATGGTGGTACATGCCTTTAATTCCAGCACCTAGGCAGATGAATCTCTGTGAGTTCAAAGCCAGCCTGGTCTATAAAGTGAGTTTCAGGACAGCCAGGACTGTACAGAAAAACCCATCTCAAAAAAACAAACAAACAAAAATACATCTTACCTTTATCTGTGAGACCTTCTCGATAGTTAATGGAGAAATTTGGGACTGTGAAACAACTGCATGTCCAACGGCATATATGGGCATAACTGAGGACTGACCTTGAACCACAGGCAAAACTGGGGACTGAGTCAGCTTTGGCTGCTCCTGCAACTGGTAAATAGAAGAAAATAGATAAAATCTCCAACATATAAAATACAGTAGTAATTCCCTCATCCCTGAAATTTGTTGCCCATGTCCTACGAGTTGTTGAGAAGAATATATTTGCACTGGAACACTTATGTCAGCCTGTAAGATACTAGAAACTACCTGAGAGTTAGTTGGCTGGCTTGAAGAATAGGCTACAGTGGGAAGACTTGAAGTATCTGAATGTAGAATTGGTCCAGCTGCTGCCTCAGATGAAGTGTCACCTTTAACAAAGAAAATGAACAAAAGGTAGAAGGAAAGACATGAAGCACAATATTCAAATGATATAAATAACAGTTAAATTTTTCTTTAATGTATTTTCTACTATGAAAATCATAGTTTCAGATAAAATATATATACTTAATATTTTTTAAACAACTAATACAAGCATTTGAGAAATAAAAGCAAAATATCAGAAGTTAGAGGCCAGCCTGTGTTACAAGTTAAATTCAAAGACAGTGTGGCCTGTCTCAAAATCAAACAAATAGCCAACAGGTAAAACTCTTTATAGGTCAACAAGATGATGACACTGTGGTGTAAGCAATTGTTTCTTTTTCTTAAAATGCAAGGGATCAAACACAGGGACTTAGACATGATAAATTCACATTCTGCTATTTTTATGTGTTCCCATCCTTAACTTTTTCTCTTTTTCTTGTTTTGTTTCTTCTGTTTTGTGAGAGTAGCCTCAAATTATGGGAGAAAAGGAGAAGGAAGGAGGAAAGAGAGATAGGGGAGAGAAAGAGAACATACTCATATGTGTGTGCAGAGGTACAATGCTGTATACTGGTGCTTAGGAACCACCTACCCTTTTCTTGACACAGGATCTCTCATTGGCTTGGTGCTCATCAAATAGATTGGGCTAACTAGTCAGCAAACATTGGGGACCTGCCTGTCTTCACTTCCATAGCACTGGGATCACAAGTGTACACCATCAAACCTGGCTTTTTTAGGCGGGCTCTGGATTATAAAATCCATGTCTTTGTGCAAGGCAAGTACTGAGTCATCTCCTAAGGCTGACATCAAAGTCTTGATCCTTCTCCCTCTGCCTTCAGAGTACTGAGATTATAGGCAGATGTTACCATGCCCACTGCCCAGAGTCTTAAATTTTTCTTTGTAAAGCAAACATAAAATAATTATGTAAAGCCGGTATGGTGACACACTATCTTAATCCCAGCACTAAGGAGGCAAAGGCAGGCAGATTTTGGTGAGTTTGAGGCCAGCCTGGTCTACAGAGTGAGTTCCAGGACAGCCACGGCTACACATAGAAACCCTGTCTTAAAAAATTACATAAAATAATTCTACAAGCTGAAGATACAGTTCTGTGGTGAATTGCTTGCCTAGAGTGCACAAGACATTGGGTTCTATGCCAATTCCTGCAAAAAAGAGAAAGGGGTAGGGAATAAGAGGTAAGATGGTAAGAAAAGGAGAGTAGTAGGGGAAAGGAAATACAAGGAAGGAGGAAGGGAAAAAGAGCAAAGAAGCAGTAGCAGCAGCTAGGCATAGTAGCATGTACCCATACTCCCAGCACTTAGAAGAGATAGGCAAGAAGATCATGATATAAGATCACCTAGAAAACAAATAAGCCAAGAAGAAAAACAAAGATAACAAGGAAGAAAAATCAACTAACTCCATTTACCAGTATTTCATGTGCATCCTAACTAAGGTATACTTGCTGTTATGATTTCAGTAAAATATAAGTGTCATGTTCTGTTTCTCCTAGAAAATGAGTAGGAAAAAAGTACTTCTTTTAGTGGGTGATCAATGAAAGATGTATCTTGATAGAGGGACCAACTATGGGGTTAGGGGGAAACCTGGTGCTAGGGAGACTCCCAGGAATCTACAAGGATGATCCGAGCTAAGACTCCTAGCAATAGTGGAGAAGATACCTGAATTGGCCTACCCTTGTAATTAGATTGATGAATATCCCAACTATCATCATAGAGCCCTCATCCAGTAATTGATGGAACCAGATGCAGAGATCTACAACCAAGAACCAGAAGCTCCGGGAATCCAGTTGAAGAGAGGGAGGAGGGAATATATGAACAAGATCATGAAGGGGAAACCTATAGAGAGACCTGAACCAAACTTGTGGGAACTCATGAACTTTAGACCAAAAGCCATGGAGCCTCCAAGGAACCAAACTGGCCCTTCTGCATGTGGGGGATAATTGTGTAACTGGGTCTACCTGAGGGGCCCCTGAACACTAGCTGAACACAGCTAGTTTGTTGGAGCCCAGTCACTATGGTGGGATGCCATGCTCAGCCTTAATGCAAAGGGGAGAGGCCTGATCCTGCCTCAACTTAATGGGCCAGGCTTTGTACACCCGATGGGAGCCCTTGCCTGGTAGGAGTGGATGGAGGGTGGAATGAGGCCAGAGACAAGGGGGGAGGGAGGAGGGATGGGAGGGAGAACTATGGGTGAAATGCAAAATGAAATTAAAAAAAACTTTTAAAAGTACCTCCTTTGTAGAACAATTGGATATAACTATACAAATACTGTGGGTTTACTTTTTACTTTTTATTTATTTATATTTAATTTAATTAATTAATTGGTTGTTGCTGTTGTTTTAAGATGGTCTCACTATGTAGCTCTGGCTGGCCTAGGACTCACTATGTAAACCATGGTGGCCTCTAACCCACAGAGATTTGCCTGTCTCTACACCCAGAGTGCTGAGATTAAAGGCCTGTGCCACTACACCCCTTATTCTGTGTTTTTTTTTTTAAATAAAGAAGATAAATTGTTGTAAAACAACTAGAAGACTTATGTTTTCATTTCAGTCTAAAGTACTAAGACACTTAACATCTAGAAAATTTCTTCTTAAGAAATAAACTGTACCTTTAGTTCTAAATTTTCTTCATGGATTTATGCTACATTGTTGCAAATGCTATTTTTTATTTTTATTTATTTATATTTATGTATGAGTGCTCTGCACTCCAGAAGATGGTAACAGATCTCATTACAGATGGTTGTGAGCCACCATGTGGTTGCTAAGAACTGAACTCAGGACCTCTGGAAGAGTAGCTAGTGCTCTTAACTGCTGAGTCATCTCTCCAGCTCCATTTTTTAAAAGATTTATTTATTTATTTATTTATTTATTTATTTATTTATTTATTCAGTAGTGTTCTGTCTGCATGTCTACTTACAGGCCAGAAGAGGGCACAATATCTTATTACAGATGGTTGTTAGCCACCATGTGGTTGCTGGGAATTGAACTCAGCTCCTCTGGAGTGCTTTAACCTGTGAGCCATCTCTCAAACCCATTACCAATGTTATTAATATCATTTCTCTGAACTGGAATAGTTGCTATAGTATAATCTTTCTGCAACTAGAACATTAAGCAAGTCACTTAAAAACTTTCTTAAATTCATTTCCAGATGACTATCATGTTTTCTAGTCTGGCCTTGAACTAGCTGAAGATGACCATTAAGTTCTAATCCTCCTGCCTTCACTTTCCAAGTGCTAGGGTAACTAGTAAGTACCACCATACCCAATTTATATATCAAGCCCAGGGCTTCCTGTATACTAGGCAGCACTCCAAACTAGAACAAATTTCTAGCCCAGTTTTGTTGATTTTAAGATAAGGAAATAATTTTGTCTATTTCAAAAGTTTTCAAAAGGATTAATAAAATTATAGAAAACAGAATACTCTGAAAAATACAAAGATGCTCTTTAAAGACAAAGAACTATGACTAGACATTTCTTTGTCTTTACAGTTGTTGTACCTCTAACAGAGGAGCACTGCTGCTGTGATTTTCCCTGTAGAATCTGCTGTCGAACATGCTGATCAACTTCTGTTTCTTCACATTCAGCTACAGTGTGTGTACCAGGAGCAGGTGGTAAAGTTGTAGTCTTCTGCTGAGGAAATACATTCCCCACATACTTGCAATGGGAATCCCTGCGTTCCTCCAAGCATCGAGCAGGCTTCTTTTCCCCAGCAGGTTTCTTTTCCCTTATCTTTTTTATCAGTGTCACACGGTCCCTAATGGACTTAGCAACAGCTTTGGAATCACTTTCATGGAAGAATCCAGACTTGACCTAAAAAGAAAACAAAATAAACAAACATACTTCTCTACTTAAATCAATATTTTGTACAACAAACTCAAAATTCTATTAAATAACTAATAGTTAATAGCTCGTCTCCATATATTTTTTACATTGGACATGTGTACCTGTGAAGGTCTTTAACTGATACAAGAATAACACTTCAGGGACTGAGGCAAAAGGATCTTGTGATGCCAGTTACAAAGCAATCCGGTAACAGCACGCCCAGTACTGACACCAGAGAAATATAGCTAACTAAAATGGTCTTTTGCCTTATATGAGTACATTATGTGATGATATAAGATGGACATAAGCTTAACATAAAATGAAGCAGATATCAGATGCTGGGAAAAAAAACCTTTAAAAAAATCTCTCTGGAAGAAACAGAAAAGTGACAGTTTTGAACTGGAGTCTATTAAAAACTATAGATGAAGTTTGGAGCAGAGATCAACATTCTAAGCAGAGGAATGTATGCTCACAGCAGAATACTTGCTATATCTTACTAGGCATTAGAATAGTATGCGAATAGAAAAGGGTTCTATTTTATCTCTAAGGAACAGGGATGAGCAGCAGAGAACATGAATTGAAGAAGTACGAGGGCATACCATGTTTAGTCCTACAGTCTGCTTGCTTGCTTTTGTATTTTGAGACAGGGTCTCATGTAACACAGGCTGGCCCATATATAGTAGACCAGAGGGATGTTGAACTCGTTAATATCCTACTTCTACCCTCTAAGTGCTAGGATTATAAGCTTGCACCACCACATCCAGCATACAGTCTACTATTTAAAACTTGTCTTAAAGGTCTGCAGATCAGAAAATTCATGGTAGTTGAAAGATTACTAAGATGTTAATGGGAATGGTAATCCCAGCACTTGGAAAGTGGAGACAGGAGGCTTGCCAAGGGTTTGAGGGTCACCTGGGCTATATTGTGATTACCAGGTCAGTGAAAGCTACATAGCACTATCCTGTCTAAAACTAAACTAAAACAATGAAAAAAAACAAAACCAGCTGAAGCACACATATCCAATTTTGTTCACCCTAAAGCTCCCAATAAACCTACTTCATAGTAAATGATTTTTAAATTTACATAGCAATAAAAACAAGGTTAGACATGGAAACACACACACCTGAAATTCTGGCACTAGGAGGCAAAGGAAGGAGGATCTGGACTTCAAGGTCAATTTCAGGTAGACAGTGAATTCTAGGTGTTTGGGTTACATGAGACCCAGTCTCAAAAAAAAAGCAAAGGGATGAATCCAAAAACATAAGAATACTTGAGAACCAATCCAAGAGGTCCAACATCCAAACAACAGAAGTTCCAGAAATAACAAACAGCAAACAATCTGATCCCCTTGGGGACTAAAGATTTATTTTGTAGATGTGTATGTGCACACGAAGGTCAGAGGTAAACATTAGAATTCTTTCTCTATTACTCTTCACCTCATTTTGTGCAACAGGTTCTCTGAGTGTGCCCCAGGGATTCTACTGTTGTCATCCACCAAGAGCTAGGGTTACAGAGTGATACCATACCACCTTACAAAAGTGCTAGGGATCCAAACTCAGGCCTTCATGTTTGTACAACAGGTATTTTATCAACTGAACCATTTCCTCAGCCTCCAATTTTTTTTGACAAAAGCAGTGTTGCATGGTTCTTTATAGTGAGCATGCAAATTTAACATATACTGCTAAGAAAAAATTACAATGACATGACAATATAAATAACAAGAACAGGAGTCTAGGAGATGCCTTGGTTAGTAAAGTGCTTGACATGCAATCATAAGGACCTGAGTTTGAAACCCCAGCACCTGTGCAAAAAGCAGAACATAAAAGCACACACCTGAACAGGGTGGTAGTGGCACACACCTGTTGTGATGTATTTGTACACTGTGTGAAGGTACATTGCTATGACAGATGTAACAAAAACTGGACAGTCAATAGCTAGGCAGGAAATATAGTTGAGACTTCCAGAGACAGAGAGGACTCTGGGGAGATGAAAGGCAGGGTCACCAGCCAGACAAGGAGAGGAGACAGGAGGTACAAGATGGAAGAAAAGTAATGCCATGCACGAGGCAGAACATAGATTTAAAAATATGGGTAAATTTAAGTTATGAGCTAGTTGAGACAAACCTAAGCTAAAGGCCAAATTATCAGAATTAATAATAAGTCTCTGAGTCATTATTTGTGAGCTGGTGGTCCTAACAAAAAAGTATTGCTATGAATACCATAAACCCCAGAGGCAGAAGCAGGAATATCTCTGTGAGTTGAAGGCCAGCCCGGTCTACAGAGTGATTTCCAGAACAACTAGGACTAAACAGTGAAAATCCTATCTTGAAAAAGCAACAACAACAAAAGTGCACACCTATAATCCCTGTACTGGGGAGATAAAAATACATGCTTGTGCAAGCATACCTATCAAAATATAAAACAAGAGAGAGTACACACAGAAGAATATGAAAGGGAAGAAAGCAACGATAAGTAGAAAAGAATCATTAATCCATCAGGATACTGTAATATGTAGGGAAAGCATCACAAAGTTTACTTACCATTTCATACGCTACTTCCTCGGGTGTATCTGTTTCTAAATTGAAACTGAATTCAATAGCTTCATTGTCTTTATGTTTGCCTTTTAATTTTTTAGGATCTTCAACCCAGAGTCTTAGAGCCAGGGATGAATTTGAGCAATCATCTTCCTCTGCTAACTCCACCCTCAGTCCAGTATCCTCAGCAAAGAATGCATGGTTTAGTAAGTCCTTGACAGATAACCTAATAAACAAAATATGTATCTCATTATCAATTCTTCCAGTTATAAGCAAGATATGATCCTTTCGAGTGTAAAAGTTAATTGCATCAAAGTGAGAATCTTACTTTACATTTTCTGTTTAACAATTATTTGTTTTGCTATAAAAACTAGATCTTATACTCAATTTATTACTAGGGACACAAAAATGTCAACTTACATGCATATAGAATGATCATAATTAAGGATTAATAACCAATAACATATCTTGATAACAAAGTTTAACACACATAAAAGTATGCCTAAGAGAATTGCTAAGTAGATTTATTAGCTTGCCTTAACCCACTGGCTTACATTACTAAGCATAAAGCAATAGATCCTCATCAAAGGAAACTAAAAACATTTCCCAGATATATAAACTATAAGGTGAAGTGGAAATCCAAATTCTTACACATATTTTAAATAGACTGCTTCAATTAACAATTACCTACTCAGAAGCTGTGTGTGATGGCTCACTGCTATACCACGGCATTTGCTAGCCTGGGTTATATAGTGAGTTCCAGGGCAGTTTGAACTACAGAATGACTCTGTTTCCAAAACTTTAAAAAAAGAATTATTTAATTAGTTTGTACTCTATTCTTTAGAAGAATGTCATAGGTGAAGCTAATGTGGTTCAATGAAGGACAGTAGTTTCTTTGTTTTTCATTTGAGACAGTATATCACTGTGTAGCTGTATATCACTTAGCTGACATGGAATTTGCTATATAGACCAGGCTGGCCTTGAACACACAAAGATCAGCCTGCCTCAGTATCTTCTCAAGTGTTAGGATTAAAAGAGTGTGCTACCAGTCTCACTATATAGATCAAGCTAGCCTCCAAATCTCAATGCTTCTGCCATGACCTCCCTCCTATGTGTCAGGATTCCAAGCATGCACAAACATACTCAGCTCCAAATGTTTTCTTTTTTCTTTTTTTTTTTTTTTTGGTTTTTGGAGACAGGGTTTCTCTGTGTAGCTTTGGAGCCTATCCTGGCAGTCGCTCTGGAGACCAGGCTGGCATCAAACTCACGCCTGCCTCTGCCGCCTGAGTGCTGGGATTAAAGGCGTGCACCACCAACGCCCGGCTTCCAATTGTTTTCTTAATGTACTGAACTTTGATTTTAGGCTATACTATATACATAATGAATATAACCATAGCTTAATATTAAAAAGTGACCATCTCTGAAGAGAAGCAAGAGGATATGGCTTCAAAGGATTCTTTTGCAAGCTCAGGCAAGTAATTTTTCTTTCATAAACTTTTAATATATGCACATTATAATTAATGTGTCTATATCTTTTATGTTTATGAAGAAAGCCACAGCTATAAAAGACATATGACTAATGTAGTGGTTTGAATGGGAATGTACCCCACAGATTCACGTGTTTGAATATTTGGTCATATGAATGGCACTGTTAGAAGGTGTGGCCTTGTTGGAATAGGTGTAGCCTTGTTGGAGTAGATGTGGCCTTGCTGGAGGAAGTGTATCACTGGGGGTGGGCTTTGAGGTCTAAGATACTCAAGTCAGGCCTACAACTGTCTCTGTTACTTTCAGATCCAGATGTAAAACTCTCAGCTCTTGTTCTGGCACCATGGCTGCCTGCAAGCTACCATGCTTCCCACCATGATAATAATGGACTAGACCTCTGAACTGTAAGCCAGCCCCAATTACATGCTTTCCTTTATAAGAGTTGCCATGTTCACAATTTCTTCACAGCAATAGAAAACCTAAACTAAAACAGATGCTAGAAGGAAAACTCCAACCTTAAAGAGGTTAACTACATCCAAGAAAACACAGGAAATAATCCCAGACCACACACACACACACACACACACACACACACACACACACACACACACACACAAACCCAAAACAAACCAGGAATTAGCAAACACTGCTCACTGATATTTCTCAACATCAAGGATCTTCATTATCCAATAAAAATACACAGACTACCAGAATGGATGGGAAGACAGGTTCCACTCTTCTGCATCATCCAAGAAATACACCTCAACATCTAGAATAGACATTACCTCAGGATGGAAAAAGTTGTTGCAAGCAAATGGACCTAAAAAACAAGTTAGTGTAGCCATTTTCATACCTGAAAAATTAGACTTCAAATCGGGAGGAGGTAGCTACGAGAATGAGAAGGGAAGAAGAGGAAGGATGCAGAGGTCATGAGGGAGCAGAAAGGTTGAGTCAGGTGAAGAATAGAAGAAAGGATATGTGATAGGTAGGGTTTTAGTTGTGGGGGGTGGTAGGGGAGGACAAGAGGGAGAAGGGAACTGAGATTGTCATGTTAATCAATCTTGTTTCTAATTCAAATAAAAAATGATTAAAAAAGCAAAAAATATAGACTCCAAATCAAAACTAATCAGGATAGGGAAAGACACTACATACTCAAAGAAAAAAATCCACCAAGAGGATATTGCAATTCTTAGCATCTACACCCCAAACACAATAGTGCACAAGTTTGTAAAAGAAACACAACTACAGCTTAAATCACACATTGACCCTCACACAGTGATAGAGGGAAAATTCAATACCCCACTCTCACCAATGGACAGACCATCCACACAAAAAATAAACAGAAATGCTGGAGCTAACTGATGCTATAAAATAAACCAAATGAACACATGGGGAAGGGCCTAGGCCTGGCCCAGGACGATGTGGTAGACTTTGGGGAGCCCCTTTTGAGGGCCTTACCCTGCCTGGGGAGTGGAGAGGGGGTGGCTAGGGGCAGGTGGGATGTTGAGGGAAGGGGAGGGAGAGGGAGAAGGGATTGACATCTGAAGCAAGCTTGTTCCTAATTTGAACTAATAAAATAAAATAAATTAATTAATTAATTTTAAAAAACCAAAAAAATAAATAAATAAACCAAATGAACCTAAGGGATATTTACAGAATATTCTACCCAGACACGAAAGAATATACCTTCTTCTCAGTACCTCATGGAATGTTCTTCAAAAGTGAGAATATACTTGAACATAAAGCAAGTTTCAACAGATACAAAAAAATTGAAATAATACCTTGCATCCTATAGGACCATAAATTAAAGTTGGATATCATCAACAACAGAAACAACAGAAAGCTAATAATAGGTGAGTCAGAGTAGATCTAGGTAAAATAAGGAAAGAATATGAAAAATTAAAAGGAAAACACATAGGAAAGGAACATGCAGGAAATGTGGGACATTATGAGAAGATCAAATATTTGAATTATAGGCACAGATAAAAGCAAAGAATCCCAAGTGAATGTCAAAACAAAATTTTTAACAAGATCATAGAAAACTTCCCCAAATTAAGGAAAGACACACCCATCTAAACACAATGAGAACATAAAATAGACAAGACCAGAAAATTCCCACAGTATATCATAGGTAAAACACTACTTATACATAACAAAGAAAGTATACGGAAAGTTCCAAGATAAAAGTCACATATTAAGGAAACCTATCAGAATAACAGCAAATTCTCAATGGAACCTCTGAAAGCAAAAAGAGCCTGGAGCAATGCACTCCAAGTCCTAAAAGACCACAATTGGTCTTTATACACAACAATGCTCTCTGCTATAGTTGAAGGGAAAGAAAAACTGTCCATGATATAAACATTCTAAACACGTTTATAATCAACAAACCAAACCTAAAAAAAACCCACAGGAAGTAATATTTCCATCTGAAAAAATGAGAATGAGCATAGCCAGGAGACTACAAAGAAATACAAAGCCATAATTACTAAAACACAAAGTACTACTGAGAACACAAACAATAATACCCAAAATCAACAACACAATGACCAGAAGCTTTCATAGCACTTACCCTTATACCTACAGAGAAGTCTAGTTCTCACCCCTCATCATGGAAACTTCCTTTGCAACAGGTAGAGACCATTACAGAAAACACAACCAATCAAAATGCAGAGTTGTGGAGCCCAGTTCCAACTGAATACATATATAACACAACACCTGCACCTAAAGCTCAAGAATCATTACAAAAAAGGGGGAGGAAAGATTCTAAGAGCCAGAGGAATAGAAGAATGCTGTGAGATTGTGTCTCCTAGAATGAGAGGAAAGCTTTACCCATGAAGTATCTTACCAACATGGCTGGCTAAACGTGACCTGAGCAAGGATGACACCAACAGACATGCTAACATGGAAGGGGAAAACTCATAATGCCTCAACTCTGTATAAAGAACTACAGGCAACTAAGAAATGATGAGAATGAGAGAAATAGTCATCTCCAAGGAAAAGTCCCTCCTGCCAATGGGTTATTTAATACCAAATGGTTGGCCATTAAACATGTATATATAAGTAACATGATACAGACTGAGCAGATTGTAGTGATGTATTTAGAACTCTGTATGTGTGTGTGCATGCATGAGCACACCTACAACAACGAAAAAGAGGCTATGAATAGGAGGAAGGATTTGGAGGGAGGAAAGGAAAAGGGGAAATGATATAATTACATTATGATCTAAAAATATTTTTAAAAAAGAAAGTAGAGGCCGGGTGTTGGTGGCACACACCTTTAATCCCAGCACTCGGGAGGCAGAGTCAGGTGGATCTCTGTGAGTTCGAGACCAGCCTGGTCTATAAGAGCTAGTTCCAGGACAGCCTCCAAAGCCACAGAGAAACCCTGTCTCGAAAAACAAACAAACAAACAAAAAAGTAGAATAGAAGTTATTGGGGTCTGGAAGGAAGAATTCTGAATTGTCAGTGGCTACATTATAGTTGAGAATGAAGAAATATTTGGAAGATTAATAGTGGTGATGGGTGTATAGAAATACGAATGTACATAAACTATGTTTCTGAAAGACACACTTAAAATAGCTAAAATGGTGGTGGAGAGATGGTTCAGCAATGAAGAACATTTGTTGTTCTTTTAGAGAATGCAGGTTTGCTTTCTAGTACCCACACTGAATAGCTCACAATTGCATGTGACTCCAGATCAAGGGGATCTGACGCCTTTCTGGGCTTTGCACATACTTGCATGTGTATGGTGCACATACATACACCTAGACACACAAACACATGAAAAAAATCTTTAAAAATATCAAAAGATGAAACTACCAACTTAAACCAGTAATTACACATAGCTCAAAATAAAAGGAAGTAAAAGCCAATACTAAAGCAATTATCTACATAAAAATAAAAATTTTGATAGAAATATAGAATAATCTGTGAACAAAAATATCCATATTACTTTTACCAATATTATTTACACAAACCTTTTCACTCTCAACTACTTAAACAAGCAATTTGTTACCTGTTTCACATCTTTAAAAATTTATTTCGCCTCACTATTAAGCTGATGGTGACTAAAATTTATCACAACAAACACAAATGTCAGATCAAATTCCACATGTCTAAACTGTCAAATGGCATGCCATGATATACATTACAGTATCCAGGATGCATTCATCATTTATGTCATTTTGTTATAATTCCACCCACCTTTCAGATTTGTTTTGTCGAATACATCCTTCAATGATTTCTTTCACTTCAGGGTCTGTGACTTTATTGAAGCTAGCTGGTTTTATGCCCTGTGAGAAGAAAATGGTTTCTTGTTACAAATTAAATAATTGAAAGTACAAATCAACATGGCATTTATTAAACTTTGTTTTTTCATAAAAATCCATGTATTCAATGAGATCATTATACATATATATTTATAATTTTTTTTTCGAGACAGGGTTTCTCTGTGGCTTTGGAGGCTGTCCTGGAACTAGCTCTTGCAGACCAGGCTGGTCTCGAACTCACAGAAATCCGTCAGCCTCTGCCTCTCAAGTGATGGGATCAAAGGCATCTTTGATCCCATCTGCCCGGCGGGAAAATGCTTTTTTTTTTTTTTTTTACTTTTATCTGCATTTATTTTATGCTGAATTTATTCCCGTGCCATAAGATTTTGTTTCTTGAGTTTCTTTCTTCTGGGATATCTTTTTCTTCTGTGTATCCTCCTCTTTTGGCTTTGGAACAATCTGTATGGGTTAATCCAGTTGTGAGCTCTGTAAATTCATCGACACTTTGTTCACCTGGATGTGTTCAATGACCAGAGAATCTACGTCTAGATCCTTAAGCTCAGCATTACTCTCTGCATTTTTAAGCATGTGTAGCAAAAATTCAGCACTCTTTTTTGGCCAGTGACTCTGTGTCCAGACCCACTGTTTGGCCTGGGTGCACCTGAGCTCTCCACCATTGTACCGCCGGAATGACACACAATGCTTCTTCAATGTGATATCTTTCAGGTATTTGGTGGCTTTTCGGATATGCATACCCTTGATGGCCTGGGCAGTTTCAGGGGTATTCTTAAAGTGAACCCGGAGATTTGAACCTCTTCACTTGCATGGTTTTGTAGGGTTTTCTGGGTCGAGAGAGTAGTGAACCATCTTCACACGTTACCTTATGTTGCTTACAGGAAGAGCGGGAAAATGATTTTTAAAAAGCAAATATAATAACAATTTTTGAATCAGAGGAAAAGGTTTGTCTGTTTCCTTTGAGACAGGATCTCACTTATGTGCCAAGTTCATGATCCTGTTTCAAATTCCCAAATAGCTAAGGCCACAGACATGCACTACCAGGCATTTTGAATCCAAAATCCCAGAAGCTCTGAGAGAGGTGGAAATGTAAATTGTGATATGGCATTTTTGTATGTTAATATAAAAATAACAGTCATTCAAAATTGTAGTTATGCTTAGGGTATGGATCAGTGGTAGAGCACTTGTGTAAGTTTCATTAGGCCCTGAATTTGATCCCAGAATCACACAAAAAAGACATAATATGCACAGCACTTGGGAGGCTAAGGTAGAAGGATCATGAGTTCAAGGCCAGCCTCAGCGACACAGTGAGATCCTGTTAATGTTATTCTATTCATAGAAAAAGTCCTTTCTGATCTCTCCACTGACCTCTTCCTGATTTCTTTGGTAATTTGTGTCTTTTTCTATATGTAAGTAAAGACAGTTATAGAACTATAATTTATAAATCAAGCACAAAATACTTCTGTGCCTAGGGCTCTTTAAATAAAGGGCACAAACCAAAAAGGCATCATAGCTTTTTCTGAGCTCTTATCAGAGGCTGGGAAGTAATTAAGAATTGTTGATTAATGGGTGTAAATTATAAATAAACAGCAGGAATAAACTTTGAAATACACTCCACAACACAACAACTATAGTCAATAATATATGGCATATTATAAAGTAACTAAAAAAGTAAGTTTTAAATGTCTCACCACAAAAATGATAAGAAAGTGAAGTTACAGGTAAACTACCTTGATTTTACATTGTAAATATATCATACTGTATCCCGTAAATGTATACAATTGTCATTTGTCTATATAAAATAATTTAAAGGATTAAAAATGGCTCTTATTATTAACTTCCTGAAACACTAACAAACTCCTTCATGGTCTATCTCTAGCCAGCCAGTCATATATGAAGTAGTCCACTCTAAACAATGAAGACATTCCAATTCTACCTTGTATCCCTTACTATACTCCTATCCTTTATTTTATACTTCTTTTTTTCTTATTTTCAGGATAGGGTTTCATCATCAGGCTGGCCTCAAATTTACAACGTTCTTCAGCCTCCCAAGTGCTGGGATTAAAGGTGTGTACTGCCACATCTTGCTAGTTTGTTTTTCTGTTTGTTTGTTTGTTTGTTTTTCTAGACAGGGTTTCTCTGTAGCTTTGAAGGCTGTCCTAGAACACTCTTTGTAGACCAGGCTGGCCTAGAACTCACAGAGACACACATGTCTCTGCCTTCCGAGTGCTGGGATTAAAGACATTTGCCACTAACATCCAGCAGTAGCTATTCCTTAATTGATATTATTCTCCTCCTAGAGATGTAGCTCTCTGAATGTAGCAAACACTTACTGTCATTACAGTCCTTGCAATTTCCAACATAAAAAATTATTCATATCAGGGATTCACTTGTTTCGCCTGTTAAACTGCATATTGAACTATTTTTCATAATGGGGCACTTATGTATTATAATACTTAAGTATTATAGTCCTTCCAACTCTTTTAGTCAATCTTTACTATCCAACTTTAAAAATTAACACCAATCTCCTGCCTCAACAAGATGATGGGACAGACTTAGTATACTTCCTAGGGGAGGCCTTACCCTCTCCAAGGAGCAGATATGAGGTGGGTAGGAGTGGGAGGAGAGAAAGAAGGGGGAACTGGGATTGGAATGTAAAAAATAAATTAATAAAAAAAGAAAAAAATAAAGATTGAAAAATTAACACCAATCAAGTCAAATGGTGGTGGTGCACGCCTTTCATCCCAGTACTTCAGAGGCAGAGCTAGATGGATCTCTGTGAGTTTGTGGCCAGCCTGATCTGTGTACTGAGTTCCAGGACAGCCAGAGGTAGTGAGATGCTGTCTTAGACAAAACAAAACAGAAAATTAAGACCAATCTAATATCTAAAATTGTACCACAACTAAAAATGATATACCTGTACATTTTCCCCGAAATAATATAGAGCATTTTATGACCCTAATAGTGTTCAAGTACATAAAAAGAAGTCTTTACAAACCTAAACCTTTTTACATGCAATTGTTAAACTGACATCATTATATAAAGTAAAAATATAATGGGGGGGCTTTTTATCTTTTCTTCCACTAAGCCACAACTTGTCCCATAATTAAATTCCACTAAGTCAATTTTATCAATTTCAACACAAAATATGGCAATCTGTGACATAAAGGAATAAAATTATACCTACACTGGTTACTTTACGGTATATTTGAGCTGCATTCTGGCACTCGGAATACGGATACTCCGAAGTAGCCATTTCCAACATGCACATTCCAAAAGCATAAACATCTACAGATTCATCATAATGTTCTTCATACATCTCTGGAGCCATAAACTCAGGAGTACCTACAAAACAATACCACAACCATATTTTTATTAAAGAGAAATATATTCATCAAGATTTTGTTTCCCATAAAAAGTATCTATTAATTTCTGCTCTTTCAAAGCAAATCTGTAAATTATGCTGGGTGCGGTGGTATACACCTTTAGTCCTAGCACTTGGGAGACAGAGGTAGGTGGACCTCTTTGAGTTCAAGGCCAGCCTGGTCTACATAGTAAATTCCAGGACAGCCAAGCTATATAGAGAGATTCTGCCTCAAAAAAAAAAAAAGCAAATTTAACATTTTGTACTGATGAAGTACAATTTAAAGAACAATTCAAGGTTAGGTTAAGATGTTAAAAATCTAACTTTAGACAGGCATGGTGGCTAACTCTTGGATTCCTAGTACTTAAATCTGATTTATTTTTATTTATATCTTTTTAGTTCAAGTTTGGATAAATTTAGTAAATTTTATTTCTTAAGTCCCCAGAATCTTTCAATAATCCTTAAAGATGAGGCTAGAGACATAGTTCAGCAGTTAAGAGTGCTTGCTGCTCTTGCAGAGCACCCAAGGTTCATTCCTAGCACCCACATGGTGGCTCACAACTGTCTGTAACTCTAGCTCCAAGGGCTCCAACGCTCTCTTCTAATCTCTGTGAGCACTGCATATGCACAGACATTCATGTAGGCAAAACAACCATACATGTAAAAAAAAAGATAAATAGTTCTTACGTAATTCTATAAAATATATATATGCTAGGTATACTGGCAATAAGTCAGTTTTTTTCATATAATTGGTAATTAAAACCACACTTACAACAAATATTTCAAAGCACATTAACAGTTAAGTGTGCCAGCTGGGTCCCAAAATATCAAGGGCCAGGAGGACTAGGAGTTCAAGGTCATCTTCTATTACATAGTGAATTTGAGGCCTGCCTGAGTTACATAAGACCTTGTCTCAATAAAAACAAGTGTTTATGTGTAACAAAAAATAAAACCTTAAAATATAGGCAGTAATCAAAATTTTGCCCAAGACCACAGTTGACTCATCATCTCTGTTCCAGTCCTATACAATTGACAAATCTAACACCCAACCAATAAACTATAAAATACTAGTCACCAATGACACTCTTAGCAAATGATGTGCGCATTAAGGTTGCAAGTCCCAGATCACCAATCTTCACAGATCCAGTGGGTCCTGTGATGAAAATGTTGTCACATTTCAGATCTCGATGAATAATAGGAGGAGTCCTTGTGTGCAAGAATTGTAATCCTTTTAAAATTTGTCTGCACCAGCTTCTTAAGACCTTTGGCTTCATGACTTTAAATCGTTTTAAGTACCTATACAAAGAAACAAAGATCATATGTAAACAAACATTCCCAGGTTATTCTATAAATAGCACTATGAGTGAGCTGCTCTGCTTATTTACTTACTATGAATACTACCCCCTGAATAATTAAGGTTTGTTTTTTATTTTTACTTATATATGTTAATGTGTATATATGTGCAAATGCCTGTGGGGGTCAGAAGAGGGCACTGACCCCCCAGGATCTAGAGTTAAAGATAGTTGTGAGTTGCCCAATGTGGATACCATGACCTGAACTCTGATTTCTGCAAGAGCATCAGGTACTCTTGGCCACTGAGTTATCTCTCCAGCCCCTGAATTATTCTCTATTGTCTACTGTAGCAAAAAAAAAAATCTATCTAAACTATCATTCTCATCTAAACTTTCAGTGACTTCAGTCACTTTACAGGTCATTTAAGTTTACCATCCCACATCACAGTTCATCAAAGAAAAACGTGGTATAACCTATGCCAAAAGATATTCTACAAAGTCTAGCACTTTTAATTCAAGTAAGAACCATATTAGAATGAGTTTTTTGAATGATACAGTCACTGGAAGTCATGCTACATAAAATTTTACGGTAAAATGTTAGGGAAAATGTACACTTTGCATTTAATTATTTACAACTGATTATACAATCAATTCATAAAAATGAAAATTAGTTACAAACAAAAGACTATAATTATATAGCAGTTATTCCTTGACCAAGCCCTTAGCAAGTCATTATCTTTTTTTTTGCTTTTTCGAGACAGCATTTTTCTGTGTGTAGTCCTGGCTTTCCCGGAACTCCCTCTGTAGACCAGACTGGCCTTGAAATGACAGGGATCTGCCTACTTTTGCCTCCCACAAGGGAAGGGATTAAAGGCTGTACAACCACCACCCAGCTCATCATTATCTTTTGCAATCATAGTCTGTAATAATTGTAACTCAAATTTTATGATCGCTCTAAAACATTAACTTTGTGGGAGTTTTTTAGATTTATTTATTTTGTGTTTCCTGCATGCATATATGTTTTCAAAGTGAGTACCAGGCATTCACAATTTCAGAAGAGGTCATTAGATTCCCTGATTATAAGCCATCTCATTCGTGCTAGGAGCCTCTGAAAGAGCAACAAGAGCTCTTAAGTTCTGAACCATCTCTCTACCCCCCTTTTGTATATATTTGAAGGATGATCTCATGTAGCTCAGGCTAGACATGAATATCGAAGAATGATTCTCCTATCTCTACCCCACCACCCAGTGTTATGATTAAAGGTGGGTGCCACTGATCCTAGTTTTACATGGTGCTGGGGATTGACCCCATGGCTTAATGCATACTAAGCAAGCATTTAACCAACTGAGCTTCATTCCCAGGTCCTCAAACATTAACTTTTCAGCACTGCACAGTCTAACAATCTTTATTAATATCCTGATTTTTTGATCAATCTGAAATAGATTCCACAAGTTCTTTTGTTGCTGTTGTTGTTATAGCACTAGGAATGGACTCCAAGGCATTGTACATACTAAGTAAGTGCTATGTCACTGAGCTATAGCCCCAGCCACTCTACAAGCTCTTAAAATGATTTCCATCTCAACTGGCACTATCAGACTCAACTTACGTCTTTAAGGTTCCTGATGTCATTAGTTCAGTCACTAACACAATACATTTCTTTCCTTTTAATATAGACTCCCAGGAATCATAAAATCGAACTATATTGGGATGCTGGAGGCCTTTCAACATCTCTGCTTCTTCTTTGAACCGTTGCTGCTCAGCTTTAGTTAATTTGCGGTCCTAAAGTGGAAGAAAGAGTTCCAAATTAATAATACAGAAATGTCCATGCACATTTCTCATAGCTCAACTGAATGTTTTACTGTACACATATATATCTTACACCTATCAATTTTTCTCAATATCTATAGAATCACTGGTATTCTTTCTTAATTAATTTGGCTCTTTGAACAGGTAATGCAACTATTGTTACATTTCATAACTATGCTATAAACACAACTACATAACATCAATATCTTAGGGGCTTTGGGATATAGTTTGGTGGTTGAGTGCTTACACTATCTCAAAATGAATTGACAAAAAGTAATAAAATAGATAATTGTGATGTTTCCCTAAGAAATCTCCAAGTTTTCACAGCTAGACAATATCTAAAAATCAGACCAAGAATAGACATTTATTGCAGTTTAATTTCTGGATTGCTAAAATAAAACTGCTCTAAACTTCCAGATATTGGGTTACTAAGTAATGAAATACCTTCAAATAGGCACTGGACCTCTAGTCTGGTAGGCTACAAGTCATAGGTGCAATGTTTACAAAATCCTAAAGGACTGTGATCCTAAAATTCTGAAATTAGACAAACTATCAATTAAGCTAAGAAAGGAAAATACCTGTATTTCTAGAAATAAGGACAGAGAAAACATCTATCCCATACAACTCTTCTGAAGATATTATTGAGAGTTCCAATTTAAAATATGGGCCAAGCCAGGCAGTGGTGGTGCACACCTTTATTCCCAGCACTGGGGAGACAGAGGCAGGTGGATCTCGGTCAGTATGGTCTATAGAGCAAGTTCCGGAACAGCCAGGGCTTCACAAAAGAAATCCTGTCTTGAAAAACAAACAAACAAAAGTTCTGTAAATTACTAGCTATGGTGTCACACACCTTTAATCCTAGTACTTGGGAGGCAGAGGCAGTTGGATCTCTATGAGTTCAAGACACCCTGGCCTACAGATCGAATTCTAGGACAGCTAGAACTGTTACACAGTGAAACCCTGTCTCAAAAAAAAGGCCAAACTAAGAACCCCTGACAGGTCATAGACCCTAGAAGAAAACCTGCTAAATGAACTTAGTATGAAACCAACTCTTATTTACTTATTGTTATACCCAAAGATTAGTACATCTCTCAACCCTCATCAGAGAAACTTCTTTTAGCAGTAGATCATGATTAACACAGAGACCTACAACTGACCAACATGTAGACAACAAGAGACTGCAAAGTGTTAAGCCCCAAATGGGACATCTATATCACATCCTGCTCCTCTCAAAGCTCAGGGATTGTTGCAGAATATGTCCAGAAAGATTGTAAGAGGTGGTGGATGACTACAATAAAACAGTGTTTCTAGGATACAACATGGAAGCTGCATATATGAACCCACAGCAGTTGTGACAGCATGCACAACAACTGTATGAGCTCAAGCCAGACACAGTATTTTTTAGCTATCACAGTAGGTATATTGGAGGGCTGGAGAGATGGCTCAGTGGTTGAGAGCACTGACTGCTCTTTCAGAGAACCTGGGTTCAATTCCCAGCACCCACATGGCAGCTCACAACTGTCTGTAATTCCAGTTCCAGGGGACCTGACATCCATGGCAAAACACCAATGCATATAAAATAAAAAAATTAAAAAGTCCCACTCCACTTAACACTGTAGGTATATTGAAGATATCAGATTACAGACTTAATTTTAATTAGCAACAGCCCAATTAACGATTTGAAGAAAGATATGGGGAATATAGGTCAGGTATTGAAGAAATGATGAAACGAGGCCCTGGGTTTGATCCCTAGCATTGACAAAAACAACTGAACACATTTCGCCACTTAAGTTATGTATAGGGGTCAACATTGTTGGTTTGTTTGTTTGTTTGGGGAGACATGTTCTCATTACATGGGCCCGGCTGGCCTGGAACTCATAGAGATCTGCCTGTCTCAGCCTCTGAGTACTGGGATTAAAAGTATTCACAACTGTATCTGACAACAAATGACATCACCCTTAGGCTTAACACTGTTGGAAAGAGGGATATTATTTTTTCTTTCTTTTTATGAGACAAGGTCTCATGTAGCCAAGATAGCACTGAACAACTGAGCTTCCTGCCTCCATGCTAAGATTACAAGCATGTATCACTATACTGTGCTTTGTTTTCTACCCTTTGGAATGGGGTTTGCTCTCTCTTGTCCAGGTTGGCCTCAAATTCACGATCCTACTGCCTCAGTCTTCCAAGTAGCTAAGATTACAGCCTATACACCAATACTTTACAGGTTTATTTTTAAACAGATACCTACTTTGTTAAGGTCTCCTATTGCAAATTTGCTTAGAGGTGTTTTTTTTTCAAAAATAATCAACTTTTAATTACATCTACTTTGTGTGTACATACTTGCATTGTCACAGTATATGCAGAAGTCAGGAGGTTTAATAGTTTTTTTTAAAGATTTATCTCTTTATTATACATATAGTGTTCTGTCTGCATGTATGCCTGCAGGTCAAAAGAGGGCACCAAATCTCATTACAGATGGTTGTAAGCCATCGTGTGGTTGTTGGATATTGAACTCAGGACTTCTGATAGAACAGCCAGGGCTCTTAACCCCTGAGCCATCTCTCCAGCCCCAAGGGCTTAATATTTTAATACTACACTGGACATTTTTCAGCTATATTTGTGGGGAATTTAGAATTATTTTTACATGTATTTATTTGTGTTTGACTGTGTGTTCGAGGGATGCCATAGAATTCATGTGGAAATCAGAGGAAAACCCTCTGGAGTCTGATCTTTCCTTCCACCACATGGGTCCTGGGGATCAAACTCAGGTCATCAGGCTTGGCAACAAGTTCCCTTTGAGCCACTTCTCCAGTGCCAACAGTTTTCATCTTTTTTTGTTTGTTTGTTTGTTTGTTTGTTTGTTTGTTTTTGTTTTTCAAGACAGGGTTTCTCTGTGGCTTTGGAGGCTGTCCTGGAACTAACTCTTGTAGACCAGGCTGGTCTCGAACTCACAGAGATCCACCTGCCTCCGCCTCCCGAGTGCTGGGATTAAAGGCGTGCGCCACCAACTTAGTTTTGCTTTTTAATTAAGAGTATATGCAGAATTCTACCTAATATCTTCTCAGTACCTACTAATACAAATGTGTTTTATTGGTAAGTTTCCTAGTATGGAATTATTCTTAAATTCCTTTTATCTCATATTCTTGTATTGTTGGAGATATTAAACCTAGGGGCCCAGACATGTTTAGCACTCCTGCCTCAGCTTCCCGAGTGTCACCAAAATGTAAAGTTATGGGGTTTTAATTGATCTTTATAAACTATTAAGTATAGTTTCATAATATCATGTCCAATATTTTAACCTTAATTTCCTCTTTCTTTAACAATTATTTCTACTCTGGTTTCTCTTTGCTTGTTATATTAATTTTCTCCTATCATTGTTTTAAGTTTTGAATAAGCAATAAATGTGGTTTTTATCCATGTTAAAAAGTGACTACCCTTCCTCATATTCAATTGCCCTCTTAGGGGGTCTTAAATTTACTAAGAAGGGCACTATATGCCTTTACATCTAGAGATGTTATTATGAATGATGGAGGTACAGGAGTCTTTCCCCAGGAGCTGCTCTTCCAGAGGTCCTGAGTTCAATTCCCAACAACCACATGGTGGCTCACAACCATCCATTATAAGATCTGGTGCCCTCTTCTGGTGTGCAGATGTACATGGAAGCAGAATGTTGTATACATAATAAATAAATAAAATATTTTTTAAAAAACTAGTATTAAAACCTAGGGAGAAGTACTTACAGTAGAGCTTTCAGCTATTCCTTTGATCATAAGAAGCACACAGACACTATATTAATGGTAATGATTTTGACAGGATAATGTCAACCCACCATCAATGAGGAGAGTTCTTGGTGCAACAGAGGCAAACTAGAGAGCAGTAATAGCTAATGGAGTTAGCATAGAACCATAAAAATGCTAATCTAAAGGCTGGTTATGGTTCTACATGCCAGTAATCTCAGTGCTGAGAAGGCTTAAGCAAAAGCACCATAAATTCTGAGGTCAGCCCAGGGTACATGGGGAGAGTCTACCTTAAAAAACAATCTAGTCTATGAAAATGAGCCATAAATATTACTGTTCCAAAGAAGATCATAAAAAAACAACAAGTGGGGCTGGAGAGATGGCTCAGCAGTTAAGAGCACTGACTGCTCTTCCAAAGGTCCTGAGTTCAATTCCCAGCAACCACATAGTGGCTCACAACCACCTTGAATGAGATCTGGTACCCTTAGCTGGCATGCAGGCAGAAGACTGTATACATAATAAATAAATAAATAAAATCTTTAAAAAAACAAGCATAAAGTTTCAGTGTCATACTTACTAATTTATATGGATAATAAATAGATGCAAAATTCAAATTAAACAAATAGAATTCAACTACTCCATAGAACTTTAAAAAGAAATACTATCTTTTTATAAATGTTAGCTAAACATTTAATCAATTTGAATATGTAGAACAGTAAAAATATACAAAAAACCTTTTCTGAGATATAGAATAACAGCAACATGACTAATCACCACAGGTATTTTATTCAAGATAAGGAACATATTTTTAAGAGTGACTGAACAAAGACTGCCTCCAGGGCAGCCTGCTCTAGCAGAGCTACCTAAGGAAGTGTTTTTGCAGGTGCAGCCTGAAGGCACACAGAGTTTACTGAAGCTGTTGTTCCAGTAGGATCTTGGCATTATCTATATGGTGCTGGTTTTTTAGGCATGCAAAATGCAAGAGTTGCAATGTTGGGGAAGCCTTAGCTCCAGAAAGCTGCTGAGGCCAGATGACTCATAGCAGTGTCAGGTGTTCTGCCTGGAGCTCCTGATCAGGCTGTTCATGAAGCTGTGAAGGTGAAGCCTACTTTTCAATAGGGATTGGAGATGCCAGAGACATGCAAGGTCCACTAAGAGACTGTGAATGGTGCAAGCTACTGAGTTGAGTCAGAGCTACCCAAGCCTGTTAGAACCCAGATGAAGCAACCATGAGCC